CTTGAAAACAATGGGTTTCCTTACTGTATTGCCTCCTGCTTTCTAGGGGCTAGAATATATTACTCTACACCTACCATTATAGAGAATTAAAACAGACAATGTGGTGATTATGGGAGGAGGAGATGAAAGAACTTTCAAAGTCTCTGACCCTTCATTACATTATAGTTTCCATCCCAATGCACTTCAGAATAAAGCTAGCATCATATTACTTGAGGTTGAGGTAGGGACGAAGACCACTTGAAATTATAAAATATTTTAAAGAAATTCAATGTTGTTATTCTCAAGTATAAAATCTATTATAAACAAATGGGCCTCATGATGTATTGGGATATACTTCAGAATCATTTATAATTGTTTAAATACAAATTATACTCCTAAGTATGTAAAAATAGCTTGTTAGTAAATACCCACACCAATGTTGTTTACATTATTAATTTCTTCACAGAAGGTTAAAAAAAGTGTCTCAAAGTAAATTTAAATTGATAAAGGTCTTTGTTAACTTTTACAATGTACTTACAAATTTCAATTTGAAATTCTTCTTTCGATATCCCCCACACCCACTTCTCATTATTTTGTTTCAAATGACTGTATATACTTAAAAAGCAGTTCTCATTGTCTTTAATTGTCTTTAATATCCATTCCTTGATAAAGACTAACTGAACATACAGACTCTCTTCAAGATTAAAATAAGTTTATGGTTATTTCTTTATGACAATATAAGCCTTCTGTGACATCCTTCAATATGTACTTACATAACTATAACATCTTTATATTGTACTTCTTTGCTTTTAGGAAGACATTAAATAGAATAATTGGATAATAGATTTTAATTTGAAAAAAACTTTTTATATAAATAGTATTTGGTTTTTTTTCAATTACATGTAAAAACAATTTTTAACATTCTTTTTTTAAAATTTTGAGTTCCAAATTTTCTTTCTCCCTCCCTGTTTTTCCCCCTCCCTAAAAATGTAATCATGTAAAACATACTACCATTTTAGTCATGTTATGAAAGAAGAAACAGATTAACAGGAAAAAATCATGAAAAAAAATAAAGTGAAAATACTACGCTTTGATTTGCGTTCAGACTATATCAGTTTGGTTTTTTTTCCTGTGGATGTGGATAGAATTTTCTATCATGAGTCCTATCACGAGAAATTGTTTTGGATTATTGCATTGCTTAGAAGAGCTAAGTTACTGATAGTTGATCATCACACAATATTGCTGTCATTGTGTACAATGTGTTTCTGGTTCTGCTCACTTAACTTTGCATCAGTTCATGTAAGTCTTCCCAGGTTTTCCTGAAACCCACCTGCTCATCATTTCTTACAGCACAATAGTGTTCTGTTATATTTATATACTACAATCTGTTCATCCATTCCCCAATTGATGGAAATCTCCTTGATTTCCAATGGAAAAAAAAAGTTTTAAAAGGTGTTTTGTCTAACCTCATTTTATAGATGAAGAAGGAAACTGAAACTTAGAGAGGTTAAGTGACTTGCATTCCAGGAAAACAGTTATATATTTTTCTATATAAAATAATTAATTTTTTAAAAAGCTCTTAAAAATTTTAAGTGAGAAAATGAAAAAAAAGAATAGCATGACAACAGTATGCAAAATGTATGCTATTGAGCATCTCTGTTTAATTATGTTATCTATAATAGAGGTGAATAATTATTACCATCTAACTTTCTCACAGAGATGTGTGGATTAATAATCATTTTATAAATACTAGGAGGCTCTTCTAGGATAGGTGTGACATAAATATGATTTTTTCCCCCTATTTCATCAATACTCATTTTGCCTGTAGTTAACAGGAGAATATTCCCTGAAAGTCATTTTTTCTCTAAGCTGAGATGAATTAATATGCCTTTCAAGATACCTTTTGGTAAATTACACATTTTTAGGGAACTATATAGAATCAGGTAATTAACTCACATGGGTAAGCAGTTTATTTTCAAGGATTAAGTAGTTTAATAATTGTAGGGTCAAACCACTTTAAGAAAATAACTTATCTTGTTTTTTCTGCCTTATAAAAATTCATCTAAATCTTCTAAAGTAATTACAGAGACTTGAAAAGAGTATAGCATGTTGTACCAGATAGAAAAAATGATCAGTAATATAGTAAAGAAAAAAAAAAGCAAAAGCAAATGAATGAATGAATGAATGAATGAATTAGGAAAAAAACTAAAACCACTGGTTGTTTATTTTAAAAGTCACATTTCAGAATTTTTAAAAAAATTTATCTATACTTTTGCATACATGTTCATTCAGAATGAAGATGGTAACAATGCAGACTGGTAAGAATTCAATGACTTATAATCTTGGGAGGGCTGCATGAGGCACTGAAAGGTTCAGTGACTTGCCCCAGGTCACAAAGCTAGAAAGTGACAGTGAAGGACTTGAACCCAGGTACTTGGTCTGTTCTCTATCTGCTATGCTTTTAGAAAGGATAATATTTAATTTGCAATTTAAGGCATAGTTGAGTAGGGAGGTAGAGGAGACAATGAGAAGAGGATGACATCACAAGCATAGCAAACAATATAAGTTGTATATAAATGATAGCTAGTGACCCAGTCTGATGAGAGATTAGAGTACAAGGTGGCTGGTAGTATTCAATGAGGTTGAAAAAGGCAAGTGCTAACAGATCATATGGTACATACTTTGAAGTTGAAACTAATTACAATTCTGTATTGTATGCGGAAGTAGGCCATAGAAACTTTGAGGATCCTTATCCTAACTCTTTCTCCTACTGATGGCAAGACCCTTTCTTCCCTTCCAGGTTAAAAATACTTCAGAGGGGTGATTCTCTAATGGTGATTCTCTAATACCATAGACTTTGAACTGCCAGTGGTGTATTTCCCACCAAGAATATCTATTGAGAATCTATTAGTTAGCTAGATTTTAGTAGCTTTCGCAGAGAGGTATTACTAACAGACTATAAAGCTGTAAAGTGTGACACACTGTCACAATCCAATTAGGGCACCAAAAGAAAGATAGTAGAACCAGAATTCTACATACTCATAAAAGGTTCTGCAAGACGAAAGAAATAAGAGGTGGTGGGGTTGCATGCTCGTTACCTAGCTAAGGATGAAACTGAAGTTTTTCCTCTCCCTGAGGATGTCACAATTCAGAGATTTTCTAGAAATGCACACTTGCTCAAATTTATGAAATTCAATTCTTTTTCATCTTATTTGGTATTTTATACACAATCTCTTGAGTCTGACCAAGTTTCCTTGGCCTATCTGAATATAATTCCTGTAAGATGTGATTCTATTCAAAGGAACACTAAGAACTTTATCTAAGGGCCACGAATGACTGACTGAGACATATTCTCACGTAGTTAAGGTATGATGGCTAAAATGGGATGGAGTGATTTCAACCCCATACTCTCAAGGAAATGAAAAAGTTAGAGGCAAAAGGATAGCTAGAAGAATATAGTGTCTGTCATAACTAGAAGGAGAGGGAACATCCAGAAAATAACAACAAAGAAAAGTCAAGGATGATGGAACTTGACAAAACCTCATTGGTTTTTGTGATTATTATTAAATCACTGGTGACTTCTAAGAAAACTTCTCCCACAATGGCAGTGTGAGAAGCTAGACTTCAAGGAGGTAAAGAGTGAGCAATGAAGGAAATGAAATACCAAATGTAGGCAACTTTTTCAGATTTGTTCAAGTATTCTATTTTGAGTAAAATAGCACAAATGATGGGTTACCAGTGAAATCTGGCCAAAACTATCAGCCAAATAAAATTTTTTTTTGCCTTTGTTTTTATTTTGTTTTCCTCATAATGAAAATAAGCCAAATAGGGGCAAATATTTCTCTAAATCTAATCAGGTTCTAGCTCCTCATGATTCCAAAGGTTTGATTGGTTTCAATTCAATTCATGAAATAAATTACCCAGAAAAAGTGTATGAAAATTTCAAGCAACTCATTAAGTTGTAGCCAAGAGTCTCCTCGTTTCATCGAACAAAAAAATCTTACTACTAGAAGCCCACCTGCTGATATTTAGAGAGTTTTATAGATGATAAACAATTTTGTTTATTTTGGTTTGTTTTGGTGACACTAGATAAAAATAAGACTTTGCAGGTATGAAAACACCTGGTATGTACATTCACATATTCCAGCACTTATCATTAACTCAGGAAGTGTATGGATTAGTAAAGATGAAAACTCTGAGGAGAGATTCATTTCTCTAAGCATAAACTCTCAAGTGGAGAATGATAATTGTGAATACCTTTTTGGAGAATTATAAATGTTTAATCTTTTAAACCATATGAGTATTTAGCCACTAAAGTGAAAAATAAATTTACATTTTCTCTCCCCTATAATTTTAATGTCTACTGTATATAACTCTATCCACATGTGAGTTTTCCATAACATACTGACATTAGCAGGATGACTTCCCTCCATTTCCTTGATGGTGTTTAGTAGGGAAATGTCAATTATTTTTTGTAGTGCTGAAATGTAATTAGGAAGCTACACTTGCCCCAAATTTGATACTAGATTCAAAAGCCAAAGAGAATAGACAGTATATTTGGATTTTCTACTGTTTTAGATTATGTGCACCAGTGCTCGGATTAGCATAGCTAATATATTTTAGAATAAGATTGTCTTTTTGGTGTAAGTTTCATGTGTTTCTAAAAAGCTCTTACTCTCATACTGTTGGCTTATTTCATAACCATAGCATTCTAGATTGGAGCAATGATGAAGCTAGTAAAAGCAGAGGGAAAATGAAAAGACCACCTGCAGTACTGAATGCTTATAAAAGGTTAACACAGTAGTCACTCTAATATTATAGTTTAGGGAAACTATATATTTGATTTTTTGACATCTGAACATGTTTAAAATGATTTGTGAAAGGCTTAAAAGTCATCTATCTATATTTGACTTTGTTATTCCCCATTTCCACTACCATGGCACTTTGAAAGATGGTATTTCAGTCATGTTTAATAAATCAAATGAATATTTGATAAATAAATTATGAATAAGTTTATTTACCTGCATGGAAATCTATTCCCACGGCAAATGAAGTCCCTGATATTGGCATTAAAGCATCCATTTTGTCAGCTGGTTCCAGAGGTATTCCCCTGATTCCCTCGTGAACAGAATACATAAGAAATGATTCTATGCCTAAATGAAAAAAAGCAAAGAAAAAAGCCCCTAAATATAAATTCAAACTTAGAGCTTATTTTATCATATTAATATTCAACAATCTTAATTTAGTTTTATAAGTTCTTTCCTGCTAGCCATTTATCCAGTTGCTAATCACACTGAGATTGCCTTCTCTAGCAGCTCATGGGACCTTCACTTTTTTCATTTAAGCAAATTACACAATTCCTCCTCCTCTAACAAGCCTACTCTGGTAAATTGAAAGATGTGTAGGCAATTCCTCAGTCACCCACTTTTAACAAAGGAATCCCATGATCCCTTCACCTTATTCAACTACCCCAAAAATGTGCTATCCTTGAGTTTGTATACAATGCTATGTCTTTATTTCAGTTAACTAAGTATTTTAACCCTATCAAATTCCAAGAAGGCACAATGCAGAAAAACATCAAAAGAACACTGGCTTTGCAGTCAGAGGACTTGGATTCAAATCCCAGCTCTGTGTCTTTGAAAATCACTTTAACTTTCTGGGTTTTATTCATAAAATCAATGGATTAGGTTAGATAATGTCAAAGGCCCCTCTAGCTCTAACCTTCAATGAACCTTCAATGTCTGTTTTTCAGTCTCTGTGTCTTTAATCTCTGGTCCCATCAATTTTTGTTGTGTTTTTTGTTGTTGTTGTTGTTGTTGTATTTGTAGTGATTTTATTTGTATGAGGAATTCCTAGGAAAGAAACTCCCTCTACCAATGGAAATGGTCACTTCTTCAGAAACTTAAAGTTTTAGAGAATTGCCTAGGACACTAAGAGGTTAATTGACTTGCCCACAGTCACAGGGTGGGTATGTGTCAAAGGAATGATCTGAATCTAGGTCTTCCACCCTCTAAATCCAACTAATAATAATGTTTGCATTGTGTTTACTATTTGCCAGGCACTATGCCAAGCACTTTAGAATTACTATATCATTTGATTTTCACAACAACCCTGGGAGGTAGGTGCTATTAATATCCCCATTATTCAGATGAGGAAACTGAGGCGAATAACGGTTAAGTGATTTGCCTAGGGTCATACAGGTAAAAAGTTTCTGAGGACGGATTTGAACTCAGGTCTAACTGATTCCAGGCATAGTGCTCTATCAACTGTGGCATCTAACGACCCACATCTACTACAGAATAGTGCTTTCCCACATAAATGTTATTATATCTTAAAATATAATGTACTAGAGGGTATTCGTACTCCTTAGTGCATTTAGAATAGGAACAAGAAGCCCCTGTGTCAGTTGCTTACTAGTTTTGTTATGAGTATGGCATTTAATTTTCTTTTTTGGTACTGAGTTTCCTTATTGATAAAATAGGAATCACACTTACCCTTCCCTAGCTCAAAATGTTGTTGGCAGGGTCATATTATATAATATTATATAAAAGTACTCTATAAAATTCTGTTGTCACCCCCACATACATACCATGACTACTCTCTAATACATGTGCGTGTATATGTATCTACATGTATGTGTATACATAAGTATATATGTGTGTGTATGTGTGTATATATGTGCGTATATATATATGTACGCATATATATATATATATATATATATATCTTGGTAAATAATAAATAGTTCTTTATATTAAACAGAATATAACCTAAGGATTCAGTATCTTATAATATCTCAGAGTAAAAACTCTGCAGACCAGTTCTCACAAGATTGATATAAAATTTGTGTTGACTCCAGGACATTTTCCAAAATTTATTTATTTTAATATACATATCTGCTTCTTGTTATTTCTCTCTCATATAATGAAGGATAAGAAAAAATTACAAAGTTCCAGTTAGTTGATGTCCAACATATATAACTGGGATTAACCCAGATAAATGTCCCAGAATGGGGTGAGAACTTCCCTTGCAGAGATAAATTCTGAATAGGCTAAGCAGACAAGGCTAGAAGATTTATCCAGTTAATAGATGGCAATGTGGAATAATTGGAAAAGAAGACTGAAAAAGGATGAGCTTGGTCTGGCAATTAGGATGTTCATTCTAAAAAATCATAATCTTTAAAAGCTAGAGTCTCTATTCTTTTTCTCAGGGAGTTCTAGATTCACTGGGGGAAATGACTTTATCTCTTTTGGCCTAATAGTACTCCAGGTTATTTGGAGAACTACTTATTTAAGGTTGGAGACCTCACTAATAGAATAATACTATATATTCAGAGGAAAAGAAGGATAGGCTATAGTTTTGGTATTCCAAAGTGGGAAAGGCCCATTACCATCAGATTTCTCCACTAAAACATTTTTAAAACACACAATTTGGTGGGGGGTATAAAATTCAAAATGGTGGTTTAACTTCAAGTAGAAGACACTGGTGTAGAATTCTTCCTCTTATTGGTTCTCTAGTTTTGGGAGGATTAGTTCAAGGAAATAGTACTAAACCTTTCCCCTGATGGACATCATACATGTTTCTGTATCTTCATGGATATAAGAGGGTGAGATCTGACAATGATTTTATTGTCTTACTTTTTCTGCTTATTTATTTTGCTATTCTGTCATAATTAAATACTATGCTATTTTCAAAAAAGTGGTTGCTTCAAATTAGGTAAGCAAAATATTTAAGTTACTGAATTTTAAATTTGTTGAAAATTGTCAATAGTCAATATTCTAAATATTGTTTTTGCTGATGTTTAGATACATTTGTGAAGCACCATAGGCTAGTAAGTCTAGAAAGATTTTTTTATGTAAAATATTGCTATCATGAAAAATAAATGTATAAAGTCATAAACATTTATATAAATCCAGTATATTCACTCCAAAAAGTTCAAAATACAGAGGAGTCTTAGAGTTAGTAACAACAGATGCAAAAAATGCCAGGTGGAAATGATGTATTTTTATGACTGTATTGTGGATTATTGAAGTTAGCTGAAGGAAATACTATGTAAGAATAATAAGAAATTCTGGTTGTTTTTATATGAGATATAAAAATGTTTTCAAAATATGGAATACAGATATTCATCTTTATTTTTTAACAACACCAAAGGTCGCAAGCTAGCTTTAGTTACATAGCCATATGTACTTTGTTGATGTGCCTTGTAACTATGACAATCTATTGGAATTTTTGCAGAAACTTTCAGAAATATTCCATTAAAATAATGCTGATGGGTACATTATATATTCTGTGTCACCAGAGTGACTAATCACTTTCACGAATTTGTTTGCTCTAAATGAGCATGTGAGTGCATGTGTGCAAATCAGGGACAAAACAAAAGAAAACAAAATTGTTACAAATAAATCTATGTAATTCAGAATTCCATGCCCTCTGCTGTTTGTCCTAATCTTTCTCTCTTCAGATCTTACATTGAAAAATATAGCAAACTTGCTTGTTAAGCAATAGCATTAATTTGAAAGAGTCAAAGGTTGTTTTTATTTTTGTTTTCCCTAAGTAAGAACGGATTCAGTATTACTAGTCTGCTCCCAAGTAGCTGCAATACCTAGTAAGGACTTTTAGCATTGAACATTAAAGAAAGGATTGTATTTGTTCTCTAAGAAAAGGGTTTTTTACGAACAAGTTAATGATACTCATCAGTATACTGAAATAAATTAGAGTCTAAGAAGGCCTGATATTCACAAACATAGGAAAGCATTACTTATTAGAGTAGGCAGGAAAACTAATTTACTGTATCTCTGTTTCCTACTACAGGCACTGATGAAATCAAGGCTAAATACAACTATTGGGGATCCCACTTGTGGAAAATCACTTTCCTGCCAAAATGACGTTATGAATTAGATATGATTTCAAACTCCTAAAAGTTACTACTCCTCTTCTCTTTCCTCATGACCTTTCCATGCCTTATTCACAAAAGTTGTAGGTGAGAATATTCCTGTACAAGCAGCTGGTTGGTACAGTGGATAGAGCACGGGACCTGAACTCAGGAAGACCTGGTTTACATCCCAGGACAGACACTTACTAGCTGTGTGACCTCCAGCAATTAATTTACCTCTCTAGGCTTCAGCTTCTTCATCTATAAACTGAAGATAATAGCACTTACTTTCCAGAGTTATCGTGAAGAGGACAAATAATGTCCTCACAAGTTATTGTGACGATAAAATAATATCCTTACCAAAAATTTGTAAATTGTTTTACAAATCTTAAAGTACTATATGAATTCTAAATTGAAAATATACATTTATGTGTGTATATACTTATACATGTGTATGCATGTATATGTACACACGTACACACATGTTTAAAAAATTAGTATCTGCAGGTAAGGCCACAAATTAAGAAATGAAATCCCACAGTGTTAAGACTTTGGAAGAACCACTGGATTACACATTTAAAACTAAAAGAAATTTTAGATATTCTCTAGCCCAAACCCCCTCATTTTTACTAATGAGAAAATTGAGGCCTAGAGAGGGAAGGTTACTTGCTGGAGGTCGCATAGATTATAAGTAGCAGAGTCAGGGCCTCTGATTCTAAATCTACCTTTTTTTTTTTTAAATCAAACCATTCCTATTAACATTCACACCATCTCTGGATTTTTTTTCTGCCTTTTTTGCTTATCTAATTGACAGTTTTATCCACAATATTTATAATGGTAACTGAGAAAAGTAACATATAGGTAAAGTTTTAAGTAATTCATACCTTGACATGACATACGATTCTTCCGGAGATTATATCCCACTGTACACACGCAAGTTCTTGTTGTTTCAGATGTTGGTAAACAAAGTTGAGAACAGCCACCATTATTTAGTTGACAGGAATTGCTACCTAAAAAGAAAAAAAAGGCAAAAAACAGTTTGATCCTACTCTGAGAAGTTGCTCAAATTCTATATTACCATAAGTTGCATAGTGCAGCTGCTTCTTTGATACCTAGTAGCTGTTAATAGCACTGCACTTCATTTTTCTGAATAATTTTAATTTGTAGATAAGGTTACAAGTCTGTCTACATATACAAATGAACAGAACACAGATTGATTTTTTCAGAGACATTATGTTAGTCCACTATTGTGCTTCAAAGGGACAGAGAACAGAATATTTTTTGTTTTATAAATGTTTCTTCAACACTCTCATTGTTTCTTTATAGACAAATTGTCCAAGTGTGTCAGATAAACAGCTATTGAATAATATGGCTTAATCAAATATAAACACTGTGCTATTAAAATAAAGATGTTTTATTAATTCCTCTATTTTTAGAAAAGCAATGAAAAAAATCACCATGCCTAGAAACACAATTCCCTAGAACTGTATTAAAACATACCTTTAAGAGTCATCTATTTAACTGGCATAATAATTTTCTTTATTACAGTATACTACCAATGACAAACATCAGTCAGGTAATCACAGGTAGGTATTCCATGGAGATGTCCTATAGAATTTACCAGGCCCGATTGGCTAATTAAAAGTGATGATATGAATTTAAATAATTTACAATCTCACCCAGCAAGTTCATTAACTATCCAATTTTTATAGCATTTTTATTATGCTAGGACATGGAATGCCATTTGCAGCATGTTCAGGCGATGATACAAAGTGCAGTAAATCCAGCGAGAATTACAAAGCGTGATGAAAAGCTATATATCAATATTGCTCTGTGGAAAATGCAAAATACCAATGCAGCTCATTATTTCTTATCTCCTGAACTCAAGATAGTCTGATGGGATTTAATTGTTCAATGGAACCTGTCAAAAGCCCTGTCATTTTGGAAGTGCGAAGTACTCTCAACTTCTGGGATTCCACATCAGAAGATCTACCAACTTCTGCTTATTTCCTGTACCTGACAGTAAAGATTCAGTGCTAAATTTCAGAACACGCGGGACCATATTTTAAATATTCAGATTGCTCTCCTGTTTTAAAAGTTACTACATTCATCTCATAAGCTAAGACCACTTGATTCCTTTTCTTCTCTACTTCTAGGGAAGAGTTTCACATTTCAATAAAGGAACCTAGAATTTCTAGTGAGTCCTTAGAAATAATTTTGACAGCTAGAGTCAACTGTACTTTTAAGTATACAAGAATTTTATGTTTATCATGTTTCTCCTTTGAATTTCATTTAAAAAAAAATATGGTATGGGGAGGTTCTTTTTTTCCCTCTATATCTGTGATTTCATTGATCTGAGAAAACCTCAATGACCAAAATCCTTTCACTGATACACATCAATAATTGTATACAATGTAGAGTCTTGGGGAATTGCCTAAGTCACTCGGGGATTTTTCAATGGTCACACAGCCAGTATCAGTTGGAGACTATGAAGTCAATTTTCTATTCATTATAGCAGGCTGCCTCCATGTCAATTGTTCTTCACCTGGGTCCTTGGACTTGTTTGTTGTTGTTACTGTTTTTTAAATATTTTGATAACTGTATTTTAGTATAGTACGTCTCCTTTGCAGTACTACGTATTTTACCTTAGGCATTAAAAACAGTTTTGTCATCAGAAATCTATAGACTTCACCAGAGTGGCTTCAAAGGAATCCAGGACACAAACTCCTGCTCTTTGTTAATATAGATATGCCTACTGGCTGAGCATTATAAAATCCTATTCAGAATAGCAGTTGGTTTGACTCCAAGCAAAGACTTTGCATTTAGGGAAACAGGGAACTGTACTATAACTTAAAGGAGTCAGCAGCATAGTATTGGGAAATAAATATAAAATCAATACATGAATTGTATGTAAGTAATGTAGGTAAGATGTGAAAGGTAATATAGGTAAGGTATAAAAAGTGAGAGGAAAATTGGGCAAAAACATACATACAAACACACAGAGATAACACACTTTTAATGTTAATCTGCATTATTAACATTTTCTCTATCAATTTATTAAGCCTCAACAATCAACAAAATAATAAATCAAGCCCTGATTTGTAGTATTTGCAAATTTCCAAGGTATAAATGCTCACACTTAAAATTTAACAATTGGCTCTCACAAACTAGTTCAACCTGGCCCCAGAACACCCCTGTATTAAACAAGACTTGTAAAAATGGATTTTCCCAGTCTTGCAAATCTAATGGAAAGGAGAAAATTCTCTACCAGATACATATATGCATGCATACATACATACATAAATGCGTATATGTGTATATATCCTAGATAGCCTCTGAAATGCAGGAAGAACAACAGCTGTAGAAACACTCAAATTCAAGGGAGAATAAAAACATAAATGACTAGCAATTAAACCAGAAGCCTCAGGTGATAATGTACAAATATACAAAGTCTGAATAAGAAACAACGTGGAATCAAGATCCCAAAACAAGGAGGTAAATTTGATGACATACGTATCAATGAGCTTTGGAGGAAGGAAATTTGTATTTTCTGTTTTTGTCATAATTATTACATTTATAACTTTTTTGTTTGAACAGTTATCCAGGGTTTCATTCATACTGGAAAACATTTATTAAGTACCAACTTTCTGCAAGGCACTGCACTATACCATCAAGAAACAAAAATATAACAGCATAGACCCAAGTCTCAAGGAGCTTATAATCTAATGACAGGAAGAGTAGATGAGCCAATAACCAGCAAAGGAAGATAAGTGGTGAAGGGGAGATCAAAACAAAGGCTTGGGAGAGAGGGGGAGAATAGGAGTGAGGTGGTTTAATGAAGGTTTTGTTGACAACATAATATCTGGGTTGAGAACCTAAAGGAAGGGAAAATATCACTTGAAGGAGGATAGGATGAAAAGTACATTCCATGCACAAAAAATTACTTCAACAAAAGCATGTATATGGGAAAAGGCAGGAATAGAACAAGGAATATCAACCAGTAAAGCATGCTTGAATGGATGCAAATGGGAACAACCTAAGAGAAAGCTAGACAAGTGGCACTTGGAACCAGATTGTTGAAGGCCATGAATGCCAAAACCAGGAAGTTTTAGTTTATTCCATAGGAAATAGGAACAAGTGAAATTATTATTATTATATTATTATTATTATTATTATTATTATTATTAGTGAGTAGAGGAAAGATATAAACATCACAGTTAGGAATGAGAGGGATTTATTTGTTTGGAGACTGGATAATGTGAATGTTCATAGGTTTTAGAATAGGAAAAGACCTTAGAAAGCCATTTAATCTTACCTTCTCATTAAAAATTAACTACTGGAATTTTTTTCCCATTACAATCATTTCTGTATATATTCCTACCACTGAACTATCCTCATGACAAACAGCTAAGCAATAGCAAAAAGATCTATTTAACCTTATATGTAGATTATTCACCATTTTGTACCTGTAGTGACCTCATCTCTCTAATGGAGGGAGGTAAAATGCATTTCATTATATCTTCTCCTAATCTAAGATTGATCGTTGCATTTAACGGAAAATGAACACAATTGAATGCTACTGCAACAACTTATAAGAAACAAACAACCTGTTTATCTTAAAGACAAGAAAACAATCAAAGAAGGAAAGCTATTTCCCCAAGGTTTAATATGCCCTACTTTCCTCTTTCTATTTCACCCTGGATTCAGTTCAGTATCTATCTACCGTATCTGTACTAGCACACGCATTGATAGAATAGCTCTATGTTGTCCAACCAAAGCTACATGATAGTCTGGGCAAAAAGTATTCTCCTTTTGTTCACTTTTTCCTATGTGTACAGTTAGGGTGAGTTCTTTTGATAGACTATAGACCTCCTTTAGGAGACTTTATGATGTTCCAAGTCTTGGCATATTCAGCACAATGTCATCCATGAACAGATGCTGCATGACCTTGGCTCAAGAAATTGCATAAAGGCCAACAAATTGAAGTTTCAAGTCATCCAAAAGGCAATGGAGAAGTACCTTATGGACATGAGTATGTTGTAGCATAGCTCCAAATCAAGAAATTTAGAAGTGGCAAGGAGGATTGAGACATGTGACGGAATTAGGAGGTGAGTGGATAATGAAGAAGAGTGAAGGACAGTCATCAAATAGCTTGCTTGAAATGCTAGGAGATCTATGGGAGGGCAGAAGCCCATTGGATTGACCCTGTTTACCATTTTTCAGAAGTCATGGAAAGCAATCCCTTAGGATGAGAAGGAATGGATTGTTTGTGTGTTTTGTGGAGGGCACTAACTGTTGAGAAGTACTGAGTCGGAATTTGTATAATATGAGAGGGTATATCTATTAGGAAGAGGGAAATTTGGGACTGGAATTCTGGGGAGATGGCAGAGGTAAACATATCAATTTGCCAATCAATTTCCTATAGACAATAACTGAAGTCATGAGGTTATATAAGATAATAGGATTATATAAGATAATAGGATCATGAGATTTAGAGGTAGAATGCTTAGAGATGATCAAGGCAAAATGTATAGTCAGAGAAGAGGGCCTAGTTGTTTAGGTATTTCCAATGTTATGGAAAAGGTAGCTATTGTTGTCCTACTTAAGCATTTTTTTAATTTAAGAGAGATAATATGATTTTAAAACATACATTCAATGTAATTATCCTAGAGTAGATCAGAGTAACTTTGTTTTTTACTTTAGAAAAATCCAAACTCTTCTAAATTTTCTAAACTGCAGCCATGATGTAGGTAACCAATGAAAAAAAAAATAGTCCATTCAGCTATCTGGCTTCAAAGAGCCTAATTTCTACCCAGAGAATAGCTCACTCAATACCCAGAAGGTATATTATTATTTTAAAATTTCTCTAATCATGGCCTATGCTGAACCTAGCCATATTATCCACTGGGTCACAAAGATAAGGGGTTAAGTAATATCCCCCTGCAGCAGCATGGTGCTTCAATTATTGCCTATTTCTCTTGAATTCTAATTTTTTGTTTAGCTCACTAAAGTGTATTGCCTCTGAAATCCTCTCTGAGGATCATCAGAGTAGTCAAAACAAAGTGGTAGAGCTTCTATTAATTGTGAAAAACAAAATGAACCTAAAATGTAATTAAATTTATGATGATAAAAGCCATCTGGAACTACTGCAGCATTGCTTGCATTATCAGTCCTATAACCAAAAAATGCAATTGAAGAAATTAGTATGAATCCAACTGTGCCAGGTAGCCTTGGAAAGGATTGGCCCCAGACAAAACAACAAAACCAGGGACACATAACTCTGCATGTAGAGACTTTGGCACAATGTAGGATCTGCAATTATGTATAAGCATTCTTGATGGTTATGAGTTTTGGCATGATTTTGACTGCTTTGCTTTCCAAGAATGAGCTTTATAGAAAAAAATTTTAATTTCATAACTGACATCTGAGAGGTAATGTGTTACAGTAGGTACAGTATGGAGGGAAAATCCATTCTTCTATTTGTTATTTCCTTAGTGTACAGATGACAGCCTACTGAAATTCTCAAAAAAAATGCTGTAAGTTATAATGTACAATAAGATAAATATCTTCATGTAGTACATGTCTCTTAATATGTAGGAAAAAATGAGTGACTCAAGAAAATAATTTTTGACAGTAATATCTATATAATCATAGACACTAGTTTAAATTCAGCTCTCTAATGTCCTTTTCATCTGTTAAATTCTCTTGTTTGACGACTCCAATATTTTGAATTGAGACTGAGGTTATCCTATGCCCCAAATCTTACATAAAAGATACCCATTTGACTAACAAGATGCCTCAACTCTCCAGCGATCTATGTCAACATGATAAATGAAGTGGCTAATTGTACTTTGGAATTCAAGGAGATAGTAATGCTAACACCTTAAATAGTCTGAAATTGCACATCTTTCATACTAATGGAGCTTTTAAGCTACCTGCAGTGATCTTGTTAATGGGATTGTCTTGAATATAGATGTTTTTATCAGTATATTCTTCTGGAGACTGTGCTGTTGTCACTATAATGCAAGTCAGTTAAAGTGTATCATGGATTATCAGGTACAATGAGTTCTTCCTCAGCCAGGGAATGATTTTCTAGGGCAAAGAATGTCCACTTGGGCCAATGAGATCAAGTGCTTGGGATCAAAGGCTATAGAAATCATGGTAACAAAAATAAAAGGAATCACAACCATGCTAAGTGGGTTTTCCCCCTTTAATAAAAATTTGTGGTATAATTGCATCTAAAAAGAAAAAAAAAAGTGAAGTACTCTGCACTACAGTTCTAGAACAAAAGTCTATTATTGCCCATAATTAAACATACAACACACACACACACACACACACACACAGTGTCAGTAGTATATCATTATGAAATTCATCTTTAGAAAGCTTGAATAAATCTAGTTCATTTTTTAATTAATTTAATGTTTTTTAGTAAAAGATACTTTTGGATTCTCAGTTACATTTCATTTCAGTTCTGTGTGATCATTAACAGGCTTCAGTTAACTTTCTGAGATAAATTCATTTATGAGGAAAGAAGAGAGGGCTTGAACTTTGAGACAAAATCTAGGAAGACAGAGATTCTGGAATATGAGGATGTAGCACTACTAAGGAGGGATATGCTTGGAGATATATTACTGGGGAGATAGTTGGGCAGGACCAAGCTAGGAAGGAGTTCACCTGGGGTGAGGCAGAATGCTTTCTATTTTACCTAGCCACTCTTGTTAGTTGTTGGAATTCTTTGGAGAAGGAAATGGTGAATTATTTCAGCATCTTTGCCAAGAAAACCCTAAATGGGGTTATGAAGAATCAGACATGACTGAAAGGACTAAAGAACAACATAGTTGTTGCTACTTAATAAAGGAGTAAAGGTGCCCTTAGGACTCCAATCTCTCCTATACATCCCCTTCTATTTACTCACACAGTTATTATCCAGAAGCAGGCTCTCATCATCTCAATCTGGACTACTGCAATAGCCTGCTAATTGGTCTCCCTGCCTCAAGTCTTTCCCTATTACAATCCATCCTCCACTCAGCTGGCAAAGCAATTTTCCTAAAATGCAGGTTTGTTATTGTTATCTTCATACTCTATATACTTCAGTGGCCCCCTACTATCTTTTGACTCAAAAATAAAGTCTTCTGCTATTTAAAGCCTTTCAAATTTGTTCTCTTCTCACCTTTCCAATCCTACACTTTTCTCTCCTCCATAATGCACATCCAGTCTCATTACTCTGACCTTTTCACTGTTTGTGTCAGCCATGCCTAGGACATTCTTTCTTCTTAACCTCTGCCTCCTAACTTCCCTAAACGCCTTCAAAATTCAGCTTATGTCTCAGTTTCTTCTATAGGCCTTGATGATCCCTCTTTGGACCTCTCTCTCTCCTGCACACACACTACTAATACTTTTCCTCTGTGGTTACCTTCCATTTTGCACTGTACATATCTTAGGTGTATAGTTATTTGCATTAGGATGTGAGCTTCTTGAGGACAAAGATCATATTTTACCTTTCTTTTCATTCTTCTAGCTTAGCCTGACATACAGCAAGATTTTAATAAATTCTTTTCAACTGACTGACCATGCAAATTCCAGATGCCCAATCCTTATTACACCTCCAAATATAAAGTATGTTTTATTTCAATATTAGTTCTACCCTGGAAAATCTTTTTTATATTCTAAGACTTTTAACTATTTCACAATATTACGATAAAATCCATACTACCCCAAATGTAGGAGTTAAACCCTGTTATATGTATCGTATGCTTACTTAAGTGCTAGAAATTTATTTGTAACACAAAAAATGTGACATTATTGAAATGATGGAAGACTCATCTTCCTGAATTCAAATCCAGCCCCAGATACTTGCTAGCTATGTGACTCTGGGCAAGCCACTTAACCCTGTTTGCCTCAGTTTCCACATCTGTAAAATGAGCTAGAGAAGGAAATGGCAAACCACTCCATCATTTTTGCCAAGAAAACCCCAAATGGAGTCACAAAGAGTCAGACGTGACTGAAAAATAACTGAATACTACTATAGCCCTATCCTATTGTCATTCCTAGAAAATGGGGAGAAAAAGAGAAATGAAAGAAAAGAATGTCAAGGAAGAAACTGAGGCAAAGAAGAGTAATGGTTAAGGATATTTTCTCAAAGGCAAATTTAAGAGTCTATGGTAGAGTAATAAGACTGAATATGCGGGTTCTATTTCTGACTCTGTGTGATCCTGGATAAGTTATGTAAATTATTTGAACCTTAATTTACCCATATATAAAATGGGCATTAGGATAAGAATAAACAGCCTACCTTACGTAGTTTATGGGAGGAAAATTTGAGTAGATTTTAGAGTTCTTATGAATATTATTAAATTATTATTAAACAGATCAAACCACCATTTCTCTAAAAACATATTTTAATGAATATGTGCTTCAGATCAGTTCTTTTCTGTTATTGATACAAGAGGTTTTCAAACCAAATTTTTATTCCAAATTTCAAACCAAATTTAGTCAGCTAAAATGAAATTCTAGCCTCAGTACTTACTGCCTACTTATATAAGCTTGACTTTTAATTGTTAAACAATTCCAGAGACTCTTGCCTGACAGCTGCCAAGTGTCATTAACAACTATGAGCATCCCTTCCTCACCCCTGCTGTTCATCCAGGTATTCTCTAGCCTGTAGACCATCTCCAAAGTCCTCCCGGGGAAAAGCTATTTTCCTTCCTCCTCTACCAGAGACTTCTTTCTGATATTCATCTCCCCAGAGAGAGAAGGGATTGGCACTGAGGATTTTCCCAGCAGGAAGAGAGGTAGAAGATAAGAGAAATGGGTTTTTTGTTTGTGCATTTTAGGGAAAAAAATATATACATATACACACATATATATATATATATATATGTATATATATATATACACACATATATATATGTATATATATATATATATATATATATATATATATATATATATATATATATATATATATATTATTTTACTGAGGTTAGGGATTCTAGAGTAAGATCTAAGGAGAAATTAGCAGGTGTGAGGCAGCACTGACTGGCATCAAAGAGCTATTTGGGCACTATGACAAGCCCACCTATGTAAACCATCTGCTTTGCTCTCTCACTCCATTTCATTGAATATCATTTGGACAAGGAAAATGAAGCAGGAAAATCACTTGAAAAAACATTTAGGGACAAATAATATAGTAATTTGGATGCACAACTCTTTTCTTGACATTGTCTACTTTAAACGCCCTTAGTGTCTGGGCTATCTTGATCTAGTAACTAGCACAATGCTGTCTTTTGTTTTAGCAGATACTCCTTTATTTTTCCCCAATCAAGACAAAGATAAAAAGGCTCTTTGAAGACCTGATTAATTAAAATTCCCAAGGCTTCTTAGCCCATGTTTGGAAAGCTAATCATGTACATTATATTAAAGGCATCTCTTCTGTAGAATGACAGCATTTTTTTTTTTGCATCTGCAGATAATCATGAGAGGAAATATATTCTCTCAATTGTTAATCTGAAGAAATAATGTGAAAGAAGAAAGAAGCATTGTGTGCTATAAAGGCAGCGTGAAGATAGTGTAGTGTGACTTACCTCGCTGAGCTTCTTTATCATACACTTTCATATGCACAACCCCTGAAGTCTTATTCCGGAGGACAGTGGGGTTCCTTCCATCTCTTTTGCTGCAGGTGCCCAGCTGAGCTAAGTTTTGGTCTGCCCACCACAGCTTTTTATCTGGAAAAATGGCAGGGTGTTGTTGTTTTGTTTTGTTTTTTTAAAGATAATTATCTTATTAAATAATGATAGATAGTTGATACAGTGTAATCTTTTTTGATTTGCTTTGTTATAGTCCAAAATTCCATTTCTAAGGCAAACATTGAAATAATTTTAACTTCTGAAAAAGCTAATGAGAATCACATGTTCTCATCCACAACCTCCCTCCCTTCATCCCTCCAATTAAAGAAGCTTGATTTTGTTAACTTTTTTTTTCCTAAAGAAGGCAGTAGTTACAAAGAAAAGCACATTTCAAATGTATTATAAATAGAGATTCTTGGACACAAATAGAATTTAACACATAGTATTTTTTTTGTTAATATAACAAGTGAATAACAAGCCTAACATAATACCCCACAACAAAAAAAGCAACAAACAAATTAGACATTGTTCCCTATCCTTGCCATTATTCTTAGCTTACTAATTGTTCTGTACTAGTATCTGTCACATCTCAATAATATTACTTCCTGCTATAACTGAATTTTCAGAGTTTAAAATTGCCAGCTTCTTGGCTTACATAGATTATCCTTATTTTCCTAAATGCCTTAAAATTTAAAGGAAGCTAGGAATTAAAAATTGAAACAAAGATAGCGAGTTTCAAACAAGTTAAGCCCAATTTAGTGTTCATATGTAACAATAATTGTGGCCCACATTCTGTTGCTAGATAATAAGCCCAAGGATTTCAGGGTTCACAAAATTCAAGAATCAACCCCATGAAATGACTGTAGTCTATTTTGTGATATATATTTCACCTAGTAAAAGAATAATACTAGACTTTATTTGAACAAGATTAGGGCAGGGTGGGGTTGAGTGGGAAAGTGCAGAAGGTAGGAAGGAATCCTTATTAAATTTAGGAAAGTAGAATTTCTTTTTCGAGTTAGACCAAAACAAAAAAACAACAAAAAGGAAAAAAAAAACCCTGCAACACTTGTCATGGAGCAGTATCCACTGTTTAGACAGAAGGGAGCTGTCACCCATACCAACTAAAACCATATCCCAAATGTCATTTGGAGATGAAATAGTGCACATTTTATAGTGGGATCTTTGATTCTTATAATAAACTTTGCCATCAAAGTTTTGAAATGAAAATAACCCTACCTCGTTACTGCTCCAATTCTGAGTTTTCTAATCTGGCATTTCAATTCTCATTTCACCACTGTCTTTCCTATTCTCCCATGATATTCACCAAGCTTAATTTCTACTGTTACATTAATAGTTCCTCCCATTCACTCTGTCCATTTTTACCTTTTGAATTACATGGGATTGCCTCCAACGTGGTTTTCTTCACTTTCTTGACTCCATCATGCCTTTGATGTTCTACAAAGCCCACTCTGACAAATTCCTAAAACTGAAACACCCTCACCATATATTTGAAATGTTCTGATCCAATACTGAAGAATCATATGTTTATATTTACATACATAAAAAATGAAAATATGGTTTTGAGAATGTAGATGTTGGCAGGTGGAAAATCAGGAAAGGACTGCTGCAGATGGTGACACCTGAGATAAGTTTTGAAGGAAATCAGAAATTTTAAGACAAAAAGATGAGGAGGAAGAGCATTCCAGGCATAATGCAGCTAGTGGTAAGGCATGGAGAGAAAAGATGGTGCATAATAAGTGAGGAAGAGCAAGAATGGCTGGAATATAGAGTATATGGAAGTTGTGTAAAAACTTGAAAAGGTAAAGGAACAGGTTGAGAAGAGGTTTAAACGACATCCAGAAGTTTCTATTTGACGCTACAGGCTCTTAGAGGGCACTTTTTCTTGTTATTCAGTCATTTTTTTGTGATACCATTTGGGGTTTTCTTGGTAAGGATACTGGAATGGTAAGCATACTGGAGAAGTAAGGAACTTCTCTAGTTCATTTTACAGATGAGGAAATTGAGGCAAACAGGGTTAAGTGACTTGCCCAGGGTTATATAGCTAGTGTCTGAAGCCAGATTTGAATTCAAGAAGACGAGTCTTCTAGACTCCAGGCCCAGCACTCTATCCACTGTGTCACCTAGTTACCCCTAGAGGGCACTAATGGAATTTAATGAATATGTGGAAGAGTTCTCATATACAACAATAACATTCATAACTTTTAGAAAACTAAGTTTGACTACAGAACTATATCATGGACATTTGATATTATTCTTGGTAAATCTGCTATATGAAAAACACTGTTTCTGCCTATCTCATAGTTCCTTAGAATGGCAATCTACCTTTCTAAACTTTTACTAGAATCTTAATACGAATATATGAGAGCAAAATGACAATATAATAGTTGCCTATGTTGTATGTCTGTGCACAACTCTGTATTAGTGTGCAACAGAACATTAACAAGACACTAATAGGAGCAAAATCAAATTTTTAGCAGATATATTCTAAACAAATAAAAACCCTACCACTTTTGTTAAGTCTATGATTTTATTCAAAAACTGGAGCTAGTTAGTGAAATATTCTAGGAATATGACAAGAAACCACCAATAATGTCTCTTAGATATAAATGTATTATGTCCTCACCAAAAAAAGGAAGAAAAAAGTATTCTGAAACTCTCAGTGTGTGTATATACAAACGTGATTAATATATGTATTCTCATATACAAGCATACATATATATGAATATAGATAGCTGTGTAAAGAAAATTGTGATTGTATAATTTAGTAGTTCAAAGCAACTTTGGAAAAGAAAAGAAATTCAATTAACTCAAAAACAACTTAACCAGTGTTTTCTCACACTCAAAAAAAAAATCCCAACACTAGCTGAGACCTACTAGTACATATTATTAAATGTATCATTTCCTTTCCTATTTCCAGACTTATAAAATCACAAATTTTGAAGGGGTCTTAATGGGCATCTATGGCAAATCCATGTGAAAATTCCTTATAGATCCTACCTGACAGGTAATCTGAGCCTGACACCCATGAGAAAGAACCAATTTCATCTCAAGACAACTCATTCCATTTTGGACTAACCCTAATTGGTAGGAAGTATTTTCTTGTGTAATACCCAAATTTGTCTCTTTTCAACTACTCTCTATTACTCTTGGTTCTCCTTTCTACGAATAAGTAGCTTAAATCTAAATCTTCTTCCACATGACAGTGTTTTATATTATAATAATGAGTTAACATTTATATAGTGCTTACTATGTGTAAGGTACTGTGCTAATCATTTTACAATTATTATCTCCTTTGACCTTCACAACAACTCTTGGAGGTAGGTACTGTTATTATCTCCATTTTATAGATGAGGAAACTGAGGTGACTTGCTCAGGCTTGCAGAGCTAGTAATTGTTTGAAACCATATTTTCAACTCAGGTCTTCCTGACTCCAGGCCTGGTGGTGTATCTACTGCACTACCTAGTTGCCCTTATATCTTTAAGGAGAGCTAATATGCCTCCTCCAATTTATTGCAGTCAGTACTAATTTGGCAGGATCTTAATTTTTTTTTCTTATGCATGAATGTATATACATGCAATTCATATGCATGCACATATAAATACATATTCATACTTACATAATTTCTCAGACATATGTCTATGTCATACAGCTTCACACATTATGTGCATTGATATATATAGATAGATAGATATAGATATAGACACATTGATACAGAATATAGATACAAATATGGTACCTTCTATCTCTGTTCCCCCATTTTACCAACTAGAGATTTATATGGGTTAAGAATTTTTTTTTCCAGATATAAAATGCCCATGGGAAGACGTAAGAGTTAGGCCTAATGAGTTATTTAAAACTTGATACAGATATAAACATGCATTTTTTTAAAATCAGGAAGAATTCATTTGTCCTTTCTACTTCCAACTAGTATGTCAAGGAATAAGATATATGTAATCTGACATTTTGTAACATGCACCTACAAACCCATGCAGAAGCCATGTAGCCAAGAAGACCAAATGCTAAGTCATTTCTGGTAAAGTAAGTATCAGTTGACATTGTCACTGTGACTATTAAACAATGATAATGAATCCTTCAATAAGGAGAACTTACTGCGTATGTAATCTTATAAACGTTTAAATCTAATCTATTACATGTTCAAGTGTCTGTTTAACTGCTCATGAATACAGAAACAATATAATCTTAATGTGCTATAAGTACAAGGCATCGTGACCCAGTTTTACTATCATCAGAAATCCAAAGACCACTTGAAAAATAAGAGATAAAGCAAAATTTCACATCAAAGATACTTTTAGAACTTTTGTTTTGACAAATATTGATTTTTAACCCCATATTTCATTTCTTAAAATTGATAAACTGCAATCCTGCAAACATACCTGTATTTACTTGCAACACCAGCCATCCTAGATCCCACTGCCACGTATGTTATATCTCACTCTTCCTCTAGGGTTGTCTGATTGCTTAAGGGAGTTAGAGATATCTGGGCCTTTTGCAAATGGCTCCACCAATGGTGCCTTACTATCGTAGGAATGAGTCCTCCTGCACCCTAGTTCCATTTAACCACTGACAACCAGATTAGCTCTCACAATGAAATATTCACTTCAGAAGATGTAATTTAAAACATATCAAACTATTCCCTCAACATGGAGCTTAATCTCTCTCTCCTCTTTTATCAACAATCTCTGTGGAGGTGGAGGGTTAGTTTAGCTGGACTCCTATATAGCACAGTCTGAATTCCAAGTCCAAATCCCCCTCAGGCTTAAGTCCCAGGCAGCCTGGCTTCTTTGGGTTTCCATGCCAGGATAACAGGCTGTACCATCTGACTAAGAACCCTGGCTCTGACGTCATGAATTCCTGATTCTTGCTGGGATTCCCCATCTGCATCTGAAACTGGGGACAAGCAACACAGAACAGAAACCTCAGGCTCCCTTCTTGATGCCAAGGCAAAAGAGGGATAAAGGAAAGGAAGTCCTTCCCTTCCCCCTCATTTATTTCATAGCAAAGAACATTATCCAGAAGTAGAAAGAGAGCCACCACCTTTGTCTTTGCAGTTTTAAAG